ACGTTAGGGCAATATAACTATGGTTCCCGAGATCGCCTCTTCTTCTCATTTATGTCTGGGGACGCGCATCTTCGCTTCTATCATATATATAGCTTTGTGGAAGAGGAAGATGAAGCGATCTGTGGGGAAGAATGTTTATCCATCTGCCATTTCGTGTTCATGCTCGAGCACATCATCGGAGATAGACTACGCGAGAAATGCAGGGTTTAACTAGGCCGTCTGCGCCCGCCTCCGATAGGTTCGTCCCGCTTTTTTCTGATTTTCCCTCCTCTCGCGCGTAAATGGTGCCTGACGGCCTCGTATGGCGCTGGTAAATCGATACTGCAGTTAGTCGAGTTAGCGTCCGATTTCCAGGCCCCGATTCCTTCCCTCGCCAATTTGCTTTCGGCTCGGCCGAGCACTTGGGCGCCGTCAAAGTCGAACAAGTGATTATTTTCCAGACAGTGCATGGCGACATGCGATCGTACATGCCTTCGTTTTACGGCCAAAGTGTAATCATGCATGCGCTTTCTTAGGCGTTTGTCGGTCATGCCACAGCAGTTGGCTAGATAGTCTGGACATTTGACGCGGTAGATGACGCCTGACGTGTCTGCAGGTGGTAGCCGGCCCTTGGTTTGCATGAGTAAGCGGCGGATGGTAACCTCCGGTCGGTGTCCAACGCCCAAGCTTAGCGGCCTTAGCATGCGCTCAGAGGCTTCGGAGACGTTACGCACGTAGGGCAATACATGGAAGATTTCTGGTCTTTGTTTCTTCTCACCGTCGCTCTTCGTGTGCCTTCCGTATTAGCATTTGTTCACAAAACTGCGTGGATATTAATTGACAGGGGAGAGGTGCCATAGGGTTTTGCGCTCCCGCAGCTTATCGGCTTCTGTGCTGCAGTGTGTGTGTGCGGATGCGGCGAAAAAGTATCCGGATACAAATGCGCTTATGCGGCAAGGGATGGTTGCTGTTGTAGTGGAGAATTTTCTCCGTATCTGTCGCCTTTCGAAAGACATCAGTCTGGAGGACTCCGTCTTCCTGCCTCGATGCCTGGACGTCGGAGAAAGGGAGCACTCCGTCTTCTTCTTCCTGCATGGTAAATTGATTTGTGGGAAAACCGAGTCCAATCCTCTTAGCGCGCTTTAATGGTTTCCAAAAAATCCACAGGCCAAACGTTCCCCTACGTCCTATTATGGCGCTGAAAGCCACGCCTACATACGAACTGTCTAATTGGATCGCCAAACATTTACTTTGTTATTAATTAAATATAATTACACCAAATATGATTAGAACATATTAAATTTATGTTCTAAATTAATGATTATAAATTGCAAATATTTCTTAATTATTACTACGATAATTGCAAATAGATAATTATTATTTTATTTGTGAACATATAGCAGATTATCTATTATTAATGACTACATGCATTAATATACTTATTTTAAGTTTTATTATAAGATTTTTAATACGAAAATAAATATGATAATGATTAGTTATTCAATAAAGTTTTTTACCAATTAATTAAAATTAAAATAATTAAAATAATTAATTATTCTAATTCTACGGTTTATTACGGTGTATATTTATTGTAATTGTGAATCTAAATTTGCTAAAATTGTTTTAAATAGAATCATAGTTAATAAAACAAACAGTAAGTAAACTATTATGTAAACGTGAATATATTCAGCGCAATGTCATTTCTAGATTATGCTAAATGTTGATAGTTAACATAAATAATATAAGTCGTATTAAATTAATTTTAAGATAGATATGGATTATTCATTTATATATTAAATGTTAATAATCAAACAAAATAAACAATTATTATTTATTAATTATAATATATCTATTTATTGTATAATATGAATTTCAACTAGAAAACATATAAGTATAATCAAAACATTATACGATTATTAAAATAATTACAATAAATAATAAAATGGTTAATCAAATAATTAACAATTAATAAATAGTAATTAATTTTAAATATAAACTTATAATAATTAATAATTATGAATGTCACTTATAAGCCCCTTTAAAATTTCTCCAATAATTATTTTAATATACGTTTAATAATTCTCGGTAAAATTAGAGACTCACGAATTTTAATTAAGTTATAATTAAGATAATGATAAAAATTAGTTATCATATTTCGAATATGTTAGAATGGTTACACATTTTATTCATAATTATAATAAAATTTTTATCCCCAATTAATAACTAATTATATGTATACTTATTAAATTAGTGTTTAATATAAATATCGTACTATGGTACTATATATTTCTATCATTAATACCAATGTATATATAAAAGAATAATTCAAATTTAAATTCTCAATGAATTAAAAATAATTTACAGTGTGCCTCACCACCGCCTTCTATACAACCTCAGCCGTGTAGGAGTTCGAGGTAAGCTTCTGATATGGATTCGAATATTTTTACTCGGCCGCTCTCAAACCGTCCACGTCAGTGACCAGCAATCTGCCGAGGTTGCGGTTAGGAGTGGTGTTCTCCAAGGCTGTGTTCTTGGCTCTACACTGTTCCTCGTATACGTCAACGACTGCGCAAACGAACTGGATTGCGATGTAGCAGTGTTTGCCGATGAGATAAAGATCTGGAGCACCGTGCGAAGCGAAGTTTACGAGGTGCGACTGCATACAAATCTGGACCACCTCGAGCAATGGTCGGAAGACTGGCTTCTACTGTTCAACGTAAACAAGTGCAACTTCCTACGCGTCGTCAGAATCAGTTCTCCTAACCGCACGGTCTACCGTCTGACTGGCAAACCACTGCAAAAAGTCGACGCCCAGAAGGACTTGGGTGTATGGAGTACAACCTCGCTTAAGTCTTCGCTGCAATGTTCAAAGGTGGCCAAGTCGGCGATGTCCATTCTATACCTGGTCAAACGGGCGTTTTCCTCCTTTGATGAAGACTGCTTCGCCAAGGTCTTTCAAACTTCTGTGCGACCGCATCTGGAGTTTGCTATCCAAGCATGGTGACCGTTGACCGCTTAAGACTTGGGCATACTCGAAAAATTTCAACGGAGAGCAACGAAATTTAGAGTTATAAATTTTCTTATTAAGATATTTTTCAAATAATTCTTGCAATAAAATATATTAATCAATTAAATTTTCTCAACTACTACGCATTTAAAAGAACTTACAATATGATTACAATTTATGGTATTTATATGTTATTATATATAATTTATTTATTGCAATTTTTATGTAATTACACTTACAATTTATACTTATTGATTAGTTATTCAACAATAATACAATTACAATTTTTAATGTTTTCAATTATAATATATTAATAAATGCATATTTTATAATTGTTATGTTAATATAAATTTTATTATTATAAATATAAAAATAAATTATGTTTAATTATTGATAATTATACCACTGTTAATTGATAATTATGAAATTAAATCTAATGCGAATATAAATTAATAATTTTAATCCTGCCATTAAAATAATCGAATAAAACTTACAGTAAAAATAAAATGTTTTTCAATTGGCAGTTATACTTGCAAATGATGATACATTTTATCTATATAATAACTTAACATTTTATAATAAAATTTTAACTTATTAACCGTCATATTATTTAAATTAATTATATAAATAATAGGGTAATTTTCATGGTTAAATTTTTTTAATATTTCTATTTCAATATTACCAAATGTAACAAGTATAAATTTTATAATTATAATTTAAGTATATTATATGATAATTTAAGTATCAACGAAATATTTTCAATCGGAATCAAATAAAGGTACTTTGGGCGCGTTCAATGCTGTTAATTACGGAAGTCACTCGCCTCCAATTGCCTTACAGGCAATTTCTCCAGTCAACCGGCAGTCGCATAGCGGCGCAAAATGTAGAAGGCAGAATTGCATTACCGACAAAGACAAGGGAGACTAGAATGGCCATTTCTGTCTTATTATCCTCCGTCAGCAAGTCATTTCCAACCACCCCACGATTTGTTGAACATCCGAGGCTCGAACTTGCGATCTCTTATTTAGAAGTCTGCACCTATAATCACTAGGCCACGAGCCCGTTACTTGTTTCTTTTCGGTCGGGAATATACAATTTACGGAGTTGGCGGCCGCTCACATTTGGTTATTACGGAAGTTACTCGTACCCATGTGCCTTACGGGGTCTTTCTTGAGCAGAAACAACTGACGCAAAGCGGCGCGCGTTAGAGTATGCAGAATGGCATTACCGGCAAAGACAAGGGAAACTGGAATGGCCATTTCTGGCTTATTAGACGTCTTCAGCAATTCATAACAACCCCGCCCCCTCCCCCCCGCCCCCCCGAAGTGTGGAACAGCAGGGTCTCGAACTGGCAAAATGTTAGTTAGAACTCAGCGCCTCTAACCGATGGGTCACGAGCCAATTCCCCTGTCCGTTTTCAATAGGGAATAGACAATGTTACGTTGGGGGCGCTCATTTTTGTTTATTATAGAAGTCACTCGTTCCCAGTTGCATTACGGGCTATTCCTCTGACCAATCAGCAACCGCATAGCGGCGCATGATAAAGGAGGCAGAATGGCATTACCGAGACAAAGAATAGAGGCAGAAATGTCCATTTATGTCTTATTAGTTGTCGTCAGCCATTCATTTCCAACCCGTACCCCACGATGTGCGGAACACACGAGGTTCCAACTGACGAAGTGTTAGTTAGAAGTCCGCACCCCTTACCACTGGGCCACAATTCCGTTTCCCTGTCGGTTTTCGTTCGTGAATATCAAATGGTCGGGTCGGGCGGGCACAAACCGATTTTTATTTCGAAAGTAACTCGATTCCAAACCAGCAGCCGCGCAAAGGCGCACGTTAAAGAAGGCAGAATGGAAATACCGACAATTACGAGGGAGACTGGAATGGCCATTACTGCTTTGTTAGCCTTCGTTAGCCACTAATACACAACCCCTACTGTGTTGAACACCCGAGGCTCGAACTGGCGACCTGCTAGTTAGAAATCCGCGCCTCTAACCCCTGGGCGACGACCCCGTTGCCCAGTAGGTATTCGATCTAGTATACGCATGGTTCGGATTAAACGCACACCGATGGTTAATAAGGAAGTCACTCGTCGCAAAGTGTGGGGCGGGGCGCTCACCGGTGTTTATTACGGATGTCACCCGCTTGAAGTCGATCTGTTAGAAATACAGTAATATATGCTTAAGTTATATTAATGAAGTAAAATTTAGAGAATGCTAATAATTAAATTATATAATTATAATGATATGGCCGACTTCCCGACAGGGCATCGGGATCGTGGTCCAGTGGTTAGAGGGCCATTCTCCCTATAGCGTGCACCGCTGTGCGGTAATTTCATTGAGTCTCCTAGATCTTGCGCCGCTGTGCTGCTGCTGGTTGGTCTCGAGAAAGAGACAGTAAGACGCAAGGGAACGAGTGACGTTATGATGTCTCTGTCGCAACTCTCCGATCCGTTTTAGTAATATCACCATTAGTGGACGTTGACATTTTTTCTAAACATATTTGAGTCTACTATTTTCCTCGTTGAGTGCGTTTCCATCGTGTCTTTCGATGTACAGCTTGTGATAATGGGGATACAATCACTCAACAAGGATGCTGCTGGTTGCTGCTGCATAAGTTATCTACTTATTTGCGAATTTTTTAGTCAATAACTGTTGTCTGTGTTTGTTATAAATAGCAGTCGCAAATGCATTGGCCTTTCTGGTACTAGTATTACTTCAGTCAGTGTTACTTTTACCATAACATTTTGTAAAGTATTATTTTTAGTAACAGTTTCACATTAATTGGCGTTTCTTGTACTAGAAATACTTCAGCCAGTTTAACTAATACCATAACAAATATTAAAATAGTAGTTTTATTAGTATCATCAATAGTAGACGAAGTAGTACTCTTAGTGTTTTTGGTGGTGGTGGTGGTGGTATAATAGTTGTAATAGTATTACTAGTAGTAATATTAATGTCACTAACAGTTCCCTTCGGCAGCAGAATCACCGCTAATATGTAACGATAAAAGCAGAACAAGGTTTGCAATTCTCGGATAAATTCAATCAAAGGAATGCAGTGACAATACGTCCGGTACCGTCAGTAGCCCCAATACCCATTGATTTTTCAGCAGACCAATTGAAATTCTTCTGCTTGTTGCTGACATACTGTATAGGTACTTCGTGCTGCCGAGCTACGTGTTAGAATATTAGAATTTAGGGTATGATAGCACTGTCGCTACACTCCGAGCTGTTTTATTATTAGCACCAATACTTGACGTAGTAGAATACTTATTGGTTGTTGTGGTGGTTATTGTGTTGGTAGTAGCAGCAGCAGTAGTGTTACTTACAGTGGATACATGGCCACTACAACCTTTATACTACTATTACGATCACTACTCTTGCAATTACTAAAAGTGATCCGGGCGTTGCGACACTGGTATCATAAGAGCAGCAGCAACTTCTGCATCAAAATGTACTAATAGAAATTTCGGTGTGATTTTATCGCCACTAGCACAAGCAATACTTGAAAAGACATGACAAAGCGCACTCACCGATTAAAAGTGCATACGCAAATAAATTAACAAATACATGCCTGCCTAAAGCTCTAGGAGTTTATCCTTAATTTCGAAACAGTTTGGGACGCCTTGAATCTACTATTCGTAACACAACCACCACCACAAACACTATGACTAATACTATCTACACTACTGGTACTAAAACTAAAACGGATCGGAGTTTTGCGACACTGGTATCATAACCTCAATTCTACCATTCTTACTGGTAGCTCGACAGCAGTATCAATCCCTACTAGTACGCCAGCAACAAGCAGAAGAACTTCTTTTTGCCTGCTGAAATAAGGCTGGCTACTGGAATTTCTGCAGGGATCGGTCCAGTTGTCACTGCAGTCCCTTGATCGAATACAGTATCGCAAATATGTACATATATAATGCAGCAGCCACTTCTGCAACAAAATTTTCTAATTTAAATTGCGGTCAGTGATTTAAAACCATGCCCACTTAAGCCAGTAGGCATTTATTTTTAATTTCAAAACATTCCGATTCGCCGCAATATCCACTCTTAACTACACTACTACTGCTTACTACCACCTCAAATTATCTGCTGACATTAGACTGGCTACAGGCGCCACTGTCGCCACCGGACGAGCATTCACTGCATTTCTGAGATCCAGTACATCCGATAAATTCCAGTCTACTACTGCTGATATGGGTAAATGTCAGCGGTGACTCTGTTACAGTAGGGAATTGTTAGTAGCACTAATACTACTACAAATACCATCAACATCACCAAAACCACCACACCCACTAAGACTACTTATAAGTCCAATACTGATTCTTCTACTATTAATACTACTATACTAACGGTTGTGGTATGTGTAAAACTGACTGAAGTAATACGAATACCAGTAACGCCAATGTAATTGCAACTGTTACTTATGACCTATATTCGGACAACAGTAACTGATTAACATTGTCGTAAATATATAACTAATGTAGCATCAACCTCTGCAACGAAAAGTACTAGTATATTGCGATGAGTGATTGTATTATCACTAGCACAAGCAATATCTCGTGTGACACAAAGGACACCTACTCAACCGGAAAAACTGCAGACGGAAAATGTTTAAGAAAACGTACCCACTGAAACACTAGGCGTTAATTTTTAATTTCAAAACCCTACTATTCGCCGAGAATACATTTTTATTAACACTACTATATCAAATACTACTACAAATAACACCACCACCACAACCAGTAAGGCTACTATTACGTCCACTTATGGTGCTAAAACTAAAACTACTACTTTACAAACTCTTTTGATATGCGTAACATTGACTGAAGTAATACTAGTACTAGTAACGCCAATGCATGTACAATTGTTCATTAGGACATAAATAAGGACAAAATAAATTGACTAACAATATCGTAAATCGATAAATCATGCAGCATTCACCTTTGCAACGAAATGTACTAATAGAAATTGCGGTTAGCGA